GTGAGTATAGACTACCCACTCCTGCATGTTAAGGAAATGTCTTCACAAGATCTGATTGTTGATTTCAGGAAGTCAAATATGTGAATGGAATTGTTCTTTCAGGTTGAAGACATCTGGTCATTTTTTAGCTTTTATTTCCTAAAAGATCTAAATGATGTATTTATGACTGATTATCTTGGATGTTTAAGATAGATGTCATGATGAAGTTTATTTGATGTGATTGATTTGGTGAATTATCGAGTTTGTCCTTAAGAAAGGAAAAAATGTCTTTAATGTACATGATGAATGTTTGATCCAAAGATGCAAACTCATGTAACATGTATGTATGTATATGTATGTTTATGTATGTTTTCTAGATGGGAATGATTGAATGAGCAGTCTTCATTCTATCCCTGATTCAATTGTCTTCATTTCCACCAGTGTGTACTCTTGCAAACCTCGACCTGAGACAATTTGTTTTCCTTGCCCAATCAAATTTTGCCCTAAAAATTTGGCTTCCCTTGCCCCAGCTTTGATCATAAACTTCTGAGAGATATTCGTTGAATTCCAATATATGCCTCCAGAGAGATTATCTTGTTTGAAAATGTTTTCCTTCTTTTGAATTTTCAAAATTTTGAAAAATATCGAAATAATTTTGAAAAATATTGCCTCCTTCTAGGTTTCATAATTGAAACAAATCATAAAACAGGAGTTCATTGGATATCAAAAGAATCAACTGCTCTTTTAATCTTTGATCGCTGCAAATCTTTGACAAATATCAAGATCGAAAGTTGGTTTAGAGGTGGGCTACCTAAATTCTAAAGTTTATTTCATCGATTCATCTTTTTTTTTTATGACATGTCCCTCTTTCCTAGCTTGGCATTTTGATCAGAGGCGGACAAAATATCGTAACTAGCATAGTCAATTGCTAGACTCTTTAGAATACTTTTGTTTTAGTTCTCTGAAATCTTCCATTTGTTCAAGCTTCGTAGACTCCTTTAGTTAAGGTAGTGCAGAAATATCGGTATAAAAATGAGATTTCTGAGTGCTTGTGTGATATCGATTATAACAGGTGTTCCTCAACTTCCTTAGTCCATATTCACCGAAACTCATTTTTCGGTAAATTTGTTTTAATTTGCCATTGTTTGGCTAGCTAAATTTAGCTTTATTGTACATATATATTATAATTTCCTTTGTTTGGCTAGCTGAAGGATTCATGTCGTCACAAAGTCTTCAACTTGACAACCACAGTGGAGTAAACACCGAATTTCCAAGTACCCAATCAATGTCATGGTTTGAATGTAATCTATTTATAACGCAAGGGCTTTCGAGTTTCCTTTATAACCAATTGCTTTAGTGGAATAGCTCAGCTTTATTATATATATATATATATATATATATATATATTGGGTATACGAATTCCATTTTTTAAGCTTGTCAAGAAGAACCTGTTATAGTCCACGTGTTTAGTGAATGTCAGAAAATCTCACAGTTAGAGTTCAATTCTCAAGCAACTGACCTAAACTAGATTTGCCTACTTGACCATTCCATTTGAGAAGATCATGATCATCATTGAACTTCATTAATAGAAGTAGAAACCAACTAGTTTTGCAATCTCATGTGCCAGTTGCCCCATGTTGTCAACTCCTAACACATACCTGACTGCCAATATGATTGACTGTACATGCGAGGAAATAGTTAGCTTGGTTCCTTCAAGAGAAATTATATGTATTCAGATGTAAATTTGGATTAGGATCAAGGGGTCCTTGTTTTGCTGGGGTTCAATCTTGTCATTTGTCAAAGATTTACACTCTCAATTATTAAAAAGCTTTTAATTAAAATGATATTCAAAGAATTCAAGATTAAAATTTGCTCATTTCTCATTTCCTAAGAATGAAGCATTTTATTAAAAATGTTCGAACGTCAAGTGACTTACAAACATTTAAACATAATAAGTACAAAAGAAAAACAAGTTCAAATAAGATGACATGCATGAGAATGCAACAAAAAACTTCTGACTGATGCCCCAGTCGACTCCAGATCATAATGCCCAATCACGCATTGAACGTCAATGCCCCTGAATCGATTAGATCTTGGATCTTGCGCTTCAATGTCCTACAATTCTCAGTGGTATGCCCCAAGCTCCCAATATGATAGTTGCATATGGTTTTAATATCATGGCCTTCAGGATATGGGGCCTCTTTTGGTTTAGATTGAACTAGAGTCACAAGGTTCTTCTCAACTAGCGTTAGGAGCAATTCCTCATATGTCATTGGGATTGGATCGATACGAGTCCTTTCATGGAATACATTATGAGGTTTGGTCCCCATACTAGCTAGATAATATCCCACAATGTTAATCTCAGCTCTTTCCTCAATGTCATTACTGCTAGTGCTTCTTATCTGGCCATTCTTTACAGCTCTTTCAATCATTTCTCCATACATGACGATGTCAGAGAAACTCTTGGTGGCAGCTCCTATCATGTAGTTAATATATGGAGACTTCAATGTATCAATGAATAGAGTGATGAACTCTCTTTCAGTCATCGATGGATACACTTGAGATGTAACATCCCTCCATCGTTGAGCATATTGTCGAAAGCTCTCATCATTCCTGATTTATATATTTTGCAGCGTTGTTCGATCAGGGGCCATATCAGTCATGTATTTGTATTGGCCCAGAAAAGCACTAGCCAAATCCTTCCAAGAGCGGATTTGAGTATGAATCAATTGGTTATACCACCTAGAAGTGGGTCCAGTCAGGTTGTCTTGAAAAAAATGGATCAATATCCGATCATTGTTGGTGTATCTAGTCAACCTTCGGATAAACATCGTGAGATATGCATTGGGGCAACTGGTTCCACTGTACTTTTCAAAGTTGGACATCTTGAATTTGGGCGGGAACACTAAGTCGGGAACTAGTACTAGTTCTGTTGCATCCATTCCGTTGTGAGAGCTCTGTCCTCTCATTCCCTAAAATATCTCTCTGCACCACTATTTCAAATTCTCTGGGATCTCGTTATTGGCTATTCTCATCTTATCAGGATTTGGCATGTTGTGATTAGTAGAATTACCCTGATGACTTATCACAGTTGTACGAGCTTTAGTAGCTGAGAAGCCTACTTGGTGACTTGGAAGCTTGTGGGGTGAAATGAGTATTTGGGGACTAGCATGTGCTATCATACATTCGGAGGTTCCTCTAGTCGAGGAAATCTTCTCTTTGCCTTTTTTCTTGGTTGAGTCTAGTCAGTTTGGCAACAATTTGATTAACCAAGTCATCTTTGTTTTGCAAGATACGATCCATGGTGGCCTTTTGCGCCTACTCTATTTTAACTTCCCACTCTGCTTTCATCTTTTGCAAACTCTCTTCCAGCTCTTTCTTCAGCTTCTCAAATTTGGCTTCCATTCTCAGTACTGTGCGAATATAGTTACACAGCTAGAAACACTTCCTTATAGCCCTCCACGAGATAAACCCATGATTCCATGATTAATGCATGTAAAAAAATGCTTCAATGAATGCCATGCAGAATCCGAATATGCAAACGCAGATGCAAAAAATGTGAAAATGTTTAAATAAATGCAGTGCAGAATGTAAATGCAAAAGTTATCGATTTCCAAAAGTAATCATTCTTAGAAAGAGTTCCATTCGTCCAAAAGAGTTTTCATCTTTACAAGAGAGATCAATCTACGAATGCGTTTTGTGATACGTAATCCCCATGCAAACTATCTCCTTTTTTCCCTTTGTGCTTTCTTCAGACTAAACTCGGACAATAGGATTGGGTTCTTCCTTATTATGAAAACTCTTTTCCATTTTAATGGTCGCTCTTCTACTATGATGATTACTTGGTTAATCAACACCTTTCTTTTATTTATGATGATCATGCAATGCCAAACAATAATAAATAAAAAAATCAAACATAAAAAATGTGACATTATAAAATAATTCAAATATCAAGCAAATATAAAGAAAATAAAAAATAATGCAGGTAAAGAGAAGAGGTTTAGAGTCATTTCTCCTTTGTGTACACTTATTTTGGGCACCTACTGACAGACATAGGTTCGACATGAATTTTATCAGGATGGATTGCTAGGGCTCACTATATGTTGTGTTGGGTTCTAAAAAAAGGTACTCGAATTGTCCATGTTGGTGCCTCCTTAGGCTACCAAACCCTCAATCCTGGCCCATTAAAGGCTCGTGCGAATCAAGTTCAATTCGAGAGGATACATTCTCTTATGTCTATGCGGAGAAATAATTTATCTCACGTAGGCTAAGCTTTCACCTCAACTTAAAAAGGGACAAAGCTCGTAAGTGAGCTTATGATATGTAAATGTACGTGTTGTGTGTGAGGAGAAACTCACAAACCTTTAAAAACACGACAAAAATAACACTCTCATAATTTCCAAAACCTGTTCAAATTGAAAACCACGAAAATAAAAAAAATCAATTAGTTAATGTAATACCCCAAAAATTCAAACAATAACCACAATGAGAATTTGGAAAGTTTGATGGTCAAAGTAGAAAATTGGGAAAACGTTTAGGGAATTAAGTGATAATTTCCTAAAAAGAATTTTATTCCATAAATATATGGTTTACTCTTGAGATTGGAGTTTTATGCAAATCATATTGTTGGATTTAGAATTTAGTAAAGAAAGGGTTAAAGCCGGTAAGGAATCGGTAAATTCCGATCGAATTGGAATTCTACAAAAAATTTGAAGGATGTTATAAAATGGTTGGAAATATTATTTTAATATTTTGGATCAGAGAAATTTGGTCTGGAAGTGTGCAAATTTTCAGATTTAACCGAAACAGTGGAATTTAGTGACTATAATGCAAGATTTGAAAATTCAAGGTGAATTTCGGAAGTCAAAGACAAAATAAATTATATTTGACTTTGAAATGTGGTAATAATCAGATGGCTTGGTTTGATGGTAATTATGGAAATTCATTAAGGGCAATAATGGAATTTCATATTGAATGGAATAAAATATTCCATTATCATATTATATTAAACATGTGGTGGACTTAATTATATCATGAGAATAGCATAATTGGGGGATCAATTCAGCTTCTTCTTCTCCAGGGGCCGGCTGCTCCAAGCTTGAAAGGTGAGTCTCTTTGTTTTGATTTTTGAAGCAATCTTGTTAAGAACTAGACTTGGGTGTGATTAGGAAAAATGTTCTATGCTTAATTCTCTACATTTTGACATGAATATTACTAGGGTTTCATGTTCAAGTTTATCTTGAGTTGATGAAGGGGGTGTTGATTCTTGTGTTTTATGGGTTTTGAAGAGTTAAGTGATTTTATGGAATTGGTTGTAAGAATTGAAGAACATAAGGATGAGGTTAAAGAAAAACAGTTTTGATTTTGAGAATTACAGTAGGTTCAAAAATTCACCAGAAAATATATAAAAATAATTTGGAGGTTATTTTTATATATTATGTTCATATATGGATCTAGTTTCGTTTTAAACAAACGGGGATCAATTTCAAGTTGTATACAAATAGATATGAATTTTTAACCGAAGTAAGGTCAGAAAATTCGGACAGCAGAATTCTGTACAAAACAGATTCTGTTGGTGAACTTTGAAAATTCACCATAAATTGTACAGAATGAATTAGAAGGAGTTCTTTATATGAATAGATTCTTATTCGAGTCTAGTTTGCAATGGAAGAAACGGAATTAAATTCCAGTGTGTGTATCAATACAGTTTAATGATTCTTTAAAGGTAGTACGAATTGTCTGAATTCTGGAAAATTGATGGGTTGTTGTGTAAGTGTAGTCTAATTGATATACTATGCTGGAAATTGTTGTTTGAGAATTGAAATGAGTGTTAGTTGTGAAATAATTTCAATGTTGGAATTATTGGTATTAAAGAATTTAAGTGGTAAAATGGTGAAGGACCATTTTGTGTAAATTGGAAAAGTTGGTTCCAATGTTTAAAGGAATTATAAGAGTTGAGTATTTTGTTTGATAATGAGTATCAAAAATATTATGTAGTTATTTTGGGATATGTTTATGTTAGTACAATACTAACATATGTATTGTTATATAATTGTGAATTATTCAGATTATGATCGATTTGTATTTGAGGCAAATCAAATATAAAATGGCTTATGGTGGGCAATAGTGAGGCTCATATATTTTGAAAGACATAAAGTGTCAAGGTGAGTGCAATACATGCATGAAATTATACATGGATGTTTTATACATCATAAGGAAGACTTGCGATAAGTCGACCTTGTTTATATTGGCATGATTTCATATCATTTTTTATAAATTGACATTGATATGTCAAAGGATGAAATTAAAATGCATTGATCACTGATTTTTGCATATGATGTTATCTTGAACATATATGATTTTTACCATGAATGTTATTTCGGGTATGAACTGCCCCATTGTTAAATATTGATAATATACTTTGCCATGGATGGATCAAATAAAATAGACTGCATGCCCAAGTCAGTTATTGAGGGACAGGGTATAGTTGGCATGCCATAGAGTCCAGCAGCAGTCTGCATATTCGGGAATACACTAAAGGATACCTAGTGTATATGGTGGGCACGACCTTATGTGTCATATTCGGGACTGTACTTAAGGATACCTAGTACAGATGGTGGGCACGACCTTATGTGTCATATTCGGGATAGCACTACGGTGCTTATATTTGACTCGTGTACCCAGGGTCCTCAGGGTTGTATATTGGGCTATAGGCTATGGTTTATGGTTTATTGCTTAATAAATGGTAAGCATACAAATAAGCTTACGAGCTTTTGGAATAATGGCAAGTATATGGGTAAAATAAGCTTACGAGCTTATGGAATTTAAATGGTAAGTATATTGGAAAAAAATATAAGCTTACGAGCTTATGGAATTTTAAACGATAAGTATTTTGGTAAAATAAGCTTACGAGCTTATGGGATAAATAGTAAGAGATTTTATATTATTTTGATCATGGTAAAATGATTTTATGGAAACCCAATTTTTGACATTGAAAATCATGCATGAATTGTATTGCACTGTTAAATGTTTTAATTGCCTCACTAAGTTTATACTTAGCGTGTGATGATTTTCACGCGTAGGTAAAAAGCAAAGAATAAGAATAAAGAGTTCAGAATGACATCAAGCATCGAGAGGTATATTTCAATATCAGTAAGACATCCTATTGTCAAATTTGATTTTTGATTAGTGGCATGTAATTTTAAAATGTTCAATTTATTTGTTTAATTAATTTCGGAAATTGTTATAGTGATGAAAGGTGAATTATTATGAATTTATATGTAAATTTTCGGAAGTTACTGTAGCATGAACAGTAACCACAGTTTTTAAGCTAAATTTCCAGTATGAAAAAGGGGTACCGATTCCCCTGCTACAGGGAATCGAATCCCCCACTGTTCACTGTTCATCGTCACTATTCACTATTTAAAAAAAATCTTTCGAATTAAATTGGTTACAACGAAACGTAATTTTTATAATATGATATTTTTATAATATCATTTACTATTTGAAGGAAATAAATTTTTAAATCGTTCTCAAATTATGATATGGTTTTGGAAAATTCGGATAACATCCATAATCTGTATAGGTATAATTATACGGGTTATGGGTGTTACAGTTAAAAAATGCATAATATGTTGAAACTCAAAAATAAATAAAAGGATCATAAATTAAATACGATTTAAGTTTTTAATTCCCAAAATAAAAAACAACGTATAATCGTTTATGACCTGACTCTAGAAGTCCCCAGCGGAGTCGCCAATCTGTCATAATGTCTCCCTCGGGGATCCGTTAGACTTTAAAAAAATTAATTTTCGGGGAAAGGTGATGAAATGTGATTTTTAAAACAATTTGATTTTAGAGTCGTCACCAACCATTAAGTTAGGTAGGTTGGAAACGTTAAACGTCAAAAAATGGTATGCGTTTTACCAAAGATTAATTTTTAAGAGTTCGGGAGTCTGTTACATGTGGGGAAGAGTTAGCACACCCACAACGCCCAAATTTTGGTACCTAAACGATTATATGTTGTTTAAATATTGGGAATTACAAACTCGAAAACATATTTAAATTACAATCCTTTTATTCATTTAACTTTATTCAAAAAGTGTTAATTTTTGAATAATTAATGCTCTTTTGTGTGAACAATCTTCGAGAAAACACTTCCTCTACAGTTAGGAGACTTTCTCATAGATTCCCTTCATAAAAGACATTATTTTGTAATTTTCGTAAAGATAAAATAACATAAAATAAAACGAAATAAAAGTGAAAAACAGTGAAAAATACTCAAAATAAATAAGCGTGGAACCAAGAAAATTATCGAATATAAAACAAACATTTATGCGAAAAAATCCTTGAAAACATACATTCCCTTTAGTTAGGAGATATCTTCGTAGATTTCCCTTACATTGAAATTTCTTTTTTATTTTTGTATATTAAAACCATGGTGATTAAAGAAACAAGGTTAAAGTAATAATACAAAAAATGCAAATAAATCAGGACCAATTTAGCACTAATAACAACTTGAAAGACTAAACAATAAATGCCAATAAATCAGAGCCAATATCACATAAATTAAAACATACAAGTACTGGAAACTAAAATAACCATAAATAATATTACGGATTAAAATGAAACAAAACAGAAACACAAAGGTGCAAATAATAATTAACCCTAAATTGTATTTATTAAACAGTGACTAAAACAAAAGAATCAGAAAATTTAGGAACATATTCAAATATTAACAAATATTGCATAATAAATATACTAGTGACTTAAATGTAAATAATGTAAAATAGAAGCTTAAAATGAAATAATACATAAATTCATTAATAATTAAAATGAGATAGTACAAATGAGAAAGGATTGAAACTATGATTTAACCCCCAAACTTTAAAAACACGAGTGTGATGTTACAAAATAACGAGGACTAATGTTGCTATTAAACCCTAATGGCCATAACACACGGGTGAGTTTATAAAAGATAAAGAACTGAAACTACTAATATACCATTTCTTAAAAACACGCAGAAACCCTTTTGGCCAAAACGACGTCGTTCGACATCTTGGATATAAACCGTTTTAAGGTTTTTTTTAAAATCCTAATCCCACTTCAAAGCCCCCCAGTCGTTCTCCATGCTCTCTTTCTCTTCTTTTGTTACCCACCACTGATTAAAACAAACAAAAACTTCGACCACCGTAAATCAGTGGCCACGGGGTTACAAGCTCAATGATGGCCTCTTAAACTCAACCTTTACAACCAATCCCTTAAACCCAACTCCTTCATGTAAATAAATCTAAAAACAATACCCCAAACCCGAAAGGTAAAAGATATACCTTCGACTTCTATGTGTTACCACTCCGATGAAGCAAAGGTGGACAAAATCTCCCTCAAAGGTAAGTTTTTTTGTTTATTTTCTTTCTTGGTTCGTTCGAATATCTCACTGGGTATTTTTTTCCGAATCCCCTCCTCTTTTTCCTCTTTTCTCTTTTTTTCCTCTCACCGAATCCCCTATTCTTGTTTTTCTCCCCCTTTTTTCTTTCTTCTCCCTAAATGGGTTCTCTCCCTCTATTCCCCTTTTTCTTTTTCTTTTTTTTTTATTTTCCTCTCTCCTCTGGTGATTGATAATAGATTTGATTTTATTTTAATGTTGATTGATTGTGATTGATTTGGTCACTATAGGTGTCACTATAGGATGGATGAGTGTCATTGTATGACCATAATTATCGATGAAATCGGGGACATCGACGGCAACAGTAGGGACTAATGGTAATAATAGCTAAGTTTAGGGTTTTAAACCCTAAATAAGTTAGGTCAGATCTATTGAGTGGCTTCGGGTTGGATCGGGTCAACTGGTATCTGGGTTGTTGAGTGTTGGGCCTGGATCGATTCCCTTTGGGTCGGGTTAGGTCCGATTAGTCTCGGGTCTGCTCTGTTGTGTTGGTTGTCTGAGCTCCTGGTTGACTTGTAATGGGTCGGGCCTTTAAGTATGCAAAGATGTAATATTTTATATTAATAATAATAATAATAATAATAATAATAATAATATATTAAAAAAAAGAATCCGGACAACCCCAATAGCAATCGATAACCGGTCAACCCAACCCTCCAAATTCACTTTGAACTTAACATCGGAAAACAACAAAATCATTATCTATTCTCATATTTCAATGGGGTTAATCTAAAAAAACTCCACTAACATGATAAGATTGTAATCTATAAAAAAAATTGTAACACAACCTAAAAATCTGCCAAAAAATCTACAAACATGCAAAAAATAGAGAAGAACTAACAAAATAAACTAAAATAAATAGAGCAAATTTAAAGGAAATGTCAAACCTTTATTGAGATTTTCCGGTGAAGGCGAACATCTCCGACCGTGAATCCGTACAGTGAACAACTTCACGACGATGAGTAGACAAAGATTCTCTGAAACCACATGAATCAAACAACGGTGAGCAAAAATTAAAATATTGTATTTAAATTAATTAATATATACCAGACATAAATTTATAAATATCAAACTTAATATCAAAATATAATATATATATATATATATATATATATATATATATATATATATATATATATATATATATATATACACACCAAATCAAAGAAATATTTTTATGCATAATAAATTAAAGAATTAAAATTTACCAACACTAAATGAACATATAATCAAATCACTAAATCAAATCTATATTTTTTATATACTAATTAATAAATACATTTCAAATATTAAAATAATATATTTGAATTAATCAAAGGATGAAAATCTATAAATACTTTTGAATAATTAAAACTTGAATAATTAAAATCTATAGATACTTAATCAATATATATTCGAATCACTAAATAAAATCTAAATTTAATAATATTAATAACGGTGGAGGTATAGCACTACAAATGATTAATAATATTAATAATGGTGGACGTACAGCGGATATGATCGCCAAGAAAACATGGAGAATTCAGGGGAGCACAATCGTTTTGCACAATGCCCCCAAGGAAGCTGAGAAGTTTCTAAATGTTGATAAAACGAGCAGTTAAGAAGCCCTTTGTACCTTTTTTAACAAAAAAACAAATACCACTTTTTAATTTATACACATAGCACTACAAATAATTAAATCAATCATAAATAATTCAATCATTTAAAATCAAATAATAAAA